TCTCTCTCTCTCTCTCTCTCCCTCTCTCTCTCTCTCTCTCTGCAGTGCATAGCCTTTTGGAACTGTTCCCATTAAAAAATCCTTTCAATACAAAGCTGAACCCCTACCTCTCCCTCCCACCACTTGCCCTTGGCTCCACCCAGCCCCACAAATGAAATACACTTGACAGAGACAGAGCAGAACACTCTCTTCCCAGCCACTTAAAGATAGCAAGTGTGTCCCATTATATCCTTCCTTCTCCAGCCCAAACAGCCTCATTTCTCTCATCGATCATGTTCCTTCCTATATGACATGTTTTACGGACCCCTCATAGTTCTGGCTGTCTTCTATCTGATGCCCCCTAATTTACCATGACCTGTTTACAATATGGCATTCGGGTGCAGGCCACTATGCGGTAGGAACTGATCTCCTCTGAGTAAAGGCAACTTTGTATCACTTCCTTAATCAGGACATCAGGGGCCACGACTGCCCTCCAAGCCCTGGCCCAGCTTCTCAGAGAGAGTGGTACTTCCTCTCTGGGACTAGCAATTTCTAGAAGGGATTCAGCACTTCCCTTGATCTTTCTGATACCTAGAAAATGAAAATAAAACCAGGGTTATTCCAAAGTGTCTTTATATTCATGCTCTAACAAGAGCCAGTATATTAGGTGACAAGTACACATTTTCCTTATGCATGAAGAACAGTTAAATGCAGAATTTATGTTGATTGTATCCTTCATGGGAATCGTGTGGACAAATACTCTGTGTTGTCCCTTTCTGGGCAAAGTGGTACATACACCACATATATACAGAACTAAGATCAAGCAAGAAGCTTACCTTGAAATAATATGATATCTACGTATATTAAAGAAAGGTACTAAAATCAGCTTAGCAGTGGTTTTGTATAAGGAAATTTTTTCTAATATCTCAATTTTTTAGGTTAAAAACAAGTAATGAAACGAATAAATGAAGGAAACAAAGAAAGAGGAAATGTCATATTTAAAATTAGATGAGGGACACTGGGACCCTGAACAATACAGTGAGGATAACGGATCAGATTTCTGACTTCCTGTCATTGAGTTCAAGTCACGAAACCCACAGTATAAAGGGAGAACCTGCCACGCCATGATACTTCTTCCTGTGGACCTTGGCACACTGAATCAACACACCTAGTTAGCACTAACTCTGATCTAAATACTGATAGGCTGAAAGCTGTGTCACCCCTGGCCCTATTTGTCTTTGCTAATTTGCTTGATTTCTACTTAAAATGATGTTCTTCTTTGAAAAATACCGCATGTTCATTTTTTAAATACAATGTATATGAATAAGTTAAAAGCACACAGTTTTAGAGCTCATCATTCCATCACCCAGAGATAACCACCATGTTATACAGCTTTCGTTTGTTTGTTTACGAAAGTGAGATCACTTGTTTCTCAGAATTTCTCCCTTGACCTCAAAGAATCTCATAATCTACATTTACGTCTTCTCTGAAAATCTGAAGTTATTGTAGGCTCCCACATATTAATATCCTAATTTGGTTCTATTTTCCCTGATCCTTTTTCTTTTTAAATCTGTGTATTACTGTTTTTTGTTTTTTGTTTGTTTGTTTTTTTCGTACAGGGGATCAAACTCGACCTTGAGCTTGCGAGACAGGCGGCAGAACCGCTGAGCTCAATCCCCAGCCCCCTGTACATTACTTTTATTAAAGTAGCTCAGATCAACTACTGCAAATGCTTTGCTAGTAGAGGCTAGTAATCAGTGGATTACTAATATCAAGAATATTGCTGATTATTAAAGATTATTAATCACTAATAACCTTTGTTATTATTGCTCCCTAATTCTGGGAGGCACCACGGTGAGACATTTACCTAATATCTCATGTCATCACTCGTAGCTACACTGTAAGAGGCAAATGGTACCCCCCAATTTACAGAAAGGACCTTGAGTCTCAAAAAAGCCCCATACAAAACCTAAGGGTGACAGAGCTATGATTGAAACCTAGCTCTGCCCAGCCTTTAATCCAGGACAGCTCACCAGGAAGCTCCCCATTCTTCTGCTTCTGTCTTCCAGGTATAATTTCCGTGGTTTTCGCTGGTTACAAGCCATGATATTTGCCATAGAGGAGATCAACAGCAGCCCAGCCCTTCTTCCCAACCTGACCCTCGGATACAGGATATTCGACACTTGCAACACCGTTTCAAAGGCCTTGGAGGCCACCCTGAGTTTTGTTGCCCAGAACAAAATTGATTCTTTGAACCTGGATGAGTTCTGTAACTGCTCAGAACACATCCCCTCCACCATCGCTGTGGTGGGAGCGACTGGCTCTGGGGTCTCCACAGCAGTGGCCAATCTACTGGGGCTCTTCTACATCCCCCAGGTAAGGGCTTTTCTCAGTCAGACCCTGGGGCAGGAGGGAGAGAGAAGACCTGATGAGGAGCAGATCGTACCTAGGGTGTCTATAGAGTTTGCTGTTCACCTGTCTGTGACTACATTGGCACTGGAGACCTTCCATCTAATGGGAGCACTGCGTCGTGACTGTTTGGGATTTGTCAACAGTGCCAACTAGACCTAGTCTTCCAGAACTCTTTAAATGGACCTTGTACATTTGTAGGCAGCCTTGTCTCTCCTCCCCGGTGTTCAATTATTTATTTCCTTATGCCCTCCTTTAGTACATGACCTTGCTTTTGCTTTTACTAAAAAGAATAAAACCATACTCAGCCTTGTCTCTCCTCCCCGGTGTTCAATTATTTATTTCCTTATGCCCTCCTTTAGTACATGAACTTGCTTTTGCTTTTACTAAAAAGAATAAAACCATACAATGTAAAGCCTACCTTTGAAACAAAAAATATCTGTTTCTAATCCTACTTCCTCAAAATCTACTTTTTTACCATCTGGTTAAAAGTTTAGATCAGAGATGAATAGAGTGTACTTTCTCACAAAACAGGAACTTAATCATTGTCTTGTGCATTCAAGAACTAGGGACAAGTCTAGTTCATTGGACAGATATTTATAGAGCATATATGAGTAAGTATTCCCCAACCTGCAAGAATGCAGCCTACATGGGGAGGTTGTTTCATTTTCAAACACTAACAGTTCACTGCATCAAGTGCTTTAATAAACATTTATTCGGTGTTGCATATTTCAACCCTTAAAAATGACAGAAAACTCCAAATAGCGCTTTATTACCTGATTTTCCCCTCTAGCACCATAAAGCAAACCTTTTTTTCCATTTAATATCTACGACTCTGTGACATCCCCTCATGGCAGTAAAAACTTGGAAACAACCTAAATGTCCGCGGATAGGAGAATCAGCTTCATTGTGCCTCATCTTTCCTATCAATTTTTAAATTAAATTATAATTGCCCTTTACTTTTTTTTTCCAATGTTTAATATCTATCATTTAAGTGAACCTATAATGAATTCACAATTCTCTGTTGGGAAGACTATTCCCTTGATGGGACTCATTATCTTTTTAGATACATATGACAACAGAGAAAGCCTTTTCATCATTTACTGAATCTTTACTTCAAGGAATTAAAGGTGTTCTCCCATGGGGAAGCCCTGGCTTTGTAACTTTTGGGCCAGACTTATTTGACAAAGTCCACATTAGTAAATGTGTGGAACATATTTCAATTTAGCATATTATGCAACACTATTTTAAATACACAGTAAAGTAAGTTTTTACCCCTTGGCCAACAAGTATAAGAGGGCACTTCTGTGAAGTACAGAAAGAACACTAAAGGAAGGGCCTACCTGCCTTCTGCAAGGTTTAAATGAAAGATAAGGTAAGGCTGAATTTGAGTTACAGAAGTACTGAGAAGATGATAATGATTATCAGTCAAACTAATGTAAGTTTGTGGTTCAGGAGCGATTCTCTGCCCTCGCTACCAGTTGGAGTGCCTTGGGAAGTTGTTTTAATACTCTTGCCCTATTCTGGTTTCTCTTCAGACCATGTAAATCTTTCCCCTTTTAAAATACCCCTGCAGGTTATGGTTTAATTGAGCTGAGATGCATCCTGGCTCTGGAGTTTTGCAGCTCTCTGGCTGATTCTCTTGTGCGGAGGGTTAGGAACCACTGTTCTGAAGGGAGGGGTCAGGCACCCAGTGGGATTTCCTATGCCAGCCACGCCACCAAGTGGATGAACAGAGCATCGAAAAGACTGTGGTTAAAATATTTTCTGAATCAGTCATAAAATTCTTCTCTCTTACAAGTTTTGTGTTTTTAAGGGTTCTTCAGGGAGTGAGGCAGAAAGAATTTAGCCAACTTTATAGGTCACTATCTGAAAGCTGGTCAAATATTATAAATATGTTCTTCAAAAAGAATATATCCATGAGACACTTTTGTGTTTTAAAATTGTATCCCTTTAAAACCCTTTTTGGTCCATTTTTCAAATGAAAACCAAGAAGCAAGTAATCGTGGATAGACTTAAGGGTAACAGAACTGTGATTCTGCCCACAAAATAGGTTTTGTGTGTGCAAAAATCTGATTCAGAAGCCTGTTATTTGAGTTTACAAACATACCTTTCAAAAACCAGTAATATCTAAAGAAATTACTTAATCCAATCACCTGCCTTATGAACTTCTGTGGTAGAGCAAGAAAGAAAAAATGTCAATTTCATATTATATCTTCTAAAATCAAAGATCTTGTCAGAAAAGTCATGCTTACCCTTTAGCAAATTTGGTCCAGTTCTTTCATGAATCAACCCCTTTTATGTCTTTAATGCCAAAATTATTCATTGATTTAGGAAAAAATAATACTGGAAATTTTTATTTAAAAGTGTTAAACATAGAAAACTAACTATTTAACCTGGCAAGAATTATTAAAAAGGTATTCTCCCAAATGTCTTCAACATGTGTCCTTAAGTTTTAAAACTCTCCAGAAAACAAAAGAACAAGAGATGGTAAACACTACCTCTTTTCCTAGAAGAAATTTCATGAAGAGTAAAAATGTTTTGTTCTTCGGAACAGATGGTCCCATAACTTGGAACTCCCTAACTAATGAGCCGTGGTGAGTGTAGAACTGCCAGCAGGCCAGCCAACACCTCCCAAAAGACACTGATCTTCTCAAGCTCTGAGATGGCCAAGGGGGCATAAGGAAGTCAGACCATACCCACCCAGGTTGACCAGCATCTTCTATTTGTCCCATCTTCTGTGCCATGATAAGGAATGAGTTGAGGAGCCCTGCACTTGCTAATGGAAGGTGACGGCTTCTCTTACATCAAAGGCATAGCTTTCTTTCCTTGGTGGTACTTGCCCATGTGCAGAGGTAGAACTGCCAGTGCCTTACACGGTGAGAAAATATCAGGGCCTCTTCTCCAGGGTTCCTTTTCAGCCTCTGTGAGGTTTTGGAGAGCTGCTTGTCAAGTGGACTCAGCCATCACAGGCAGCCAAACAAAGAAAATTGCTCTGAGTAGTGGCTGGACCACAAAGGAGTCAGGGTAGGAAAGGATGTTTTTCTAACAACACTGAATGATGTTCATCATTGTGGTGGCATGGGGGAATTGAGCCTGATGAGCCTTAATAGGCTAATTGAGATCAACAGTTCTCAGAAATTACTGTAATTGAGGTTACTTTTATAGGAAGTATGGTGGGGGGGCAGTATCTGGAGGTATTGGGAAGAAGGAAACTGGGCAGAACAGAAAAAGGGAATCCCTTGGAGCTTTTCTGAAGAGTCTTAAGTTTATAACCCATAGGAAACCTGATCAAAGGCAGTTCGTGGACAAATTGTTCATCACAATAAGGGGAAGGTGTAGCAGGCAGAAATTAGGTACATGGACATGTTATAACCAGTGAGGCAACATGGAGAAGGTTAGAAGAAATATGAAAGGGTAAATACATAAAGACTACCCCTGAAAAGGTAAGTACAGTCTCCTGTGGCTGGGCAACTGTACAGCCAGAGCCGGTTGTTTTTTGTTTTGTTTTGTACTGGGGATTGAACTCGGAACCTTGTGCTTATGAGGCAGGCAGAAGCCAGAGCCATTTTTGAAGGTAGCATTGTGAAGAATCACCCAGCTCTTTCATAAACTGACAGGTGGGGCCAGGGATTTAGCTCAGTGGTTCCAGCACCTGCTTCACAAGTGCAAGGACCCAAGTTCGATCCCTGGTACCAAAAAAAAACCCAAAACAATAAAAAACAAAAAACTGGGATTTAGCTCAGTGGTTCCAGCACCTGCTTCACAAGTGCAAGGACCCAAGTTCGATCCCTGGAACCAAAAAAAACCCAAAACAACAAAAAAACAAAAAAAAACAACATAAACTGACAGGTGCTTGGGACTTCATACTGGGCTGGAACAGATTCCGGTTTTCCTTATCTTTTTCTTCTGTCCACAGTGAACAGCACATTTGACAAATGGGATTAAGTTATGCTCAGAAAATAACCCTCTCTCATTTATTCCTTCCACTTTCTTGGGTTCTTTTCCAGGTCAGCTATGCTTCCTCCAGCAGACTCCTCAGCAACAAGAACCAGTTCAAGTCCTTCCTCCGTACCATCCCCAATGATGAACACCAGGCCACGGCCATAGCAGACATCATTGAGTATTTCCGCTGGAACTGGGTAGGGACTATTGCAGCTGATGATGACTACGGCCGGCCAGGGATCGAGAAGTTCCGAGAGGAAGCTGAGGAGAGGGATATCTGCATTGACTTCAGTGAGCTCATCTCCCAGTACTCTGATAAGAAGGAGATCCAGCAGGTGGTGGAGGTGATCCAGAATTCCACAGCCAAGGTCATCGTTGTTTTCTCCAGCGGCCCAGACCTAGAACCCCTCATCAAGGAGATTGTCCGGCACAACATCACAGGCAAGATCTGGCTGGCCAGCGAGGCATGGGCCAGCTCCTCTCTGATCGCCATGCCCCAGTACTTCCATGTGGTGGGAGGCACCATTGGGTTTGCTCTCAAGGCTGGGCAGATCCCAGGGTTCCGAGAATTTCTGCAGAAAGTCCATCCCAGGAAGTCTGTTCACAATGGTTTTGCGAAGGAGTTCTGGGAAGAAACATTTAACTGCCACCTCCAAGAAGGTACTAAAGGACCTTTACCCACGGACACCTTCCTGAGAGGTCACGAAAAAGGTGGCAACAAGTTAAGCAACAGCTCCACTGCCTTCCGACCCCTCTGCACAGGGGAGGAGAACATCAGCAGTGTTGAGACCCCTTACATGGATTATACACATCTACGGATATCCTACAATGTGTACCTAGCAGTCTACTCCATTGCCCAGGCCTTACAAGATATATACACCTGCGTACCTGGGAGAGGGCTCTTCACCAATGGGTCCTGTGCAGACATCAAGAAGGTTGAGGCGTGGCAGGTAAGTCTGCACTTAGATAATAGTTCACTGCATAATGAAGCAGAAACAGGCAAATACAGCTGAGAAATGGCTCCCTGATTGTAGTCATCAACTGTGCCCCCCCAGTTCCAGCCATTTCTTGGCTGGAAATTCCAATGGTTACTCCAGAAAAAAAGCAGTATCTAAATGAGGCCCCTGAAGACAGTTGTGGATTCAAAGGGTCTTTTCAAATGTCTAAGCAACCGATTTCTGAAATAGTGATAGTTATTCATTTAATTAACTGTTTAATGCCACAGCTCAACTCTTTGTTAATCCGGTGGCCTCTAAAGTATGGCTCCTAAAGTTTTCCAATCTGGAACAGATTCAGTACTGAGTGGAATGTTTTTCCGGTGCTTCAGTGAGAGGTACTGTTCTCTTATGAGGAACTAGTATTTGTCACATACTTAATGCACTCATTGCACTAAGGAGCATAAAACTCCTGTTATGTGTTCACGTACTACTTCTGCCTTTATATTTCTCACAGCTGGGCCAGACCAGTGGGCCAACTAAGCACAAACATAGCACATAAGCATAGTAAAGTACAGCAAAAAATGCTTCTATAAGGATTAGATATTGAATGTTTCAAAAAGAAACACTAAAGCCAGGCATAATGGTGCATGCCTAAAATCCCATCACTCAGGTGTCTGAGGCAGGAGGATCACCAAGTGTGGGGCCAGCATGAGCTACATAATGCATAATGAGTTCAAGATTGGCCTGAACTACACAGCAAGACCTTGTCTCAAAACAAACAAACAAAAAAAAAGGAACCACTGACAGATCAGAACTTAGGTGAAGGTCCTATGCTCACTTTATAGTTTACAGTTTTAAATTACACAAAGGAGGGACATCATAATAGGTTTCATATGGTAGAACTTCCGAAGAAAGCAGTCTGCTCTGACTTGTGTCCTCCACAGCTGTCACACCTTGTATATGGACCTAGTTTTGAGGATCAGACTATGTTTTACACTCCTTGCATGTTTTTCTCAGTTCTAGACTAACCTATCAGAAAGGAAACATAATAGTAGGATGGTTCCCTGAACATAAAAATGGGAAAATGAGATGAGAGCTCTAGGGAGGGACAACTAGATATTGGCTAAGGTCCTGTGTGCTTGCTGTAGGTATCCATTAAACCTCAGGAACCCAAGCAACTAGATGGACATTCCAGAATTGAGGGTCTTGGTGTGTCTCATTTATCAGGCAATGAATCAGCTACTATTCACTGTCATTATTAAGGCTTATGCGGAAACCTATCACCTATTTAATCTAATCCAAGCATCTCAGCCTGTGATCCTCTGCCCACCTCTGTTCTCTTATAAACCAACCTGCCTGGTCTCTTCCCAGAAATCCCTTGCTAGTTTTTGGCACAGAATTGCTTTTGAGCTCAGCCTCTGTGCTGAGACCATATCCCACACCTGGAGGACCATCCCTAACGGCACCACTCACACTGTCCATGAAGTCTTTTGGGGGGTTTGTTTTGTTTTGTTGTTGTTTTGGGTTTTTTTTTAGACAGGGTCTCACTATGTAGTTGAGACTGACCTGGAACTCACTATGTAGCCCAGGCTGGTGTCAAACTAACAGCGATCCTCCTGCCTCAGCCTCCCAAGTGCTGGGATTACAGGAGTGCACCATCATGCCCAGCCATGAATTTTTAAATGTTTTTTAAATTTACTTTCTCTTGGAAATTTTTTCAAATCATACTCTTACATGTGTTCTTTCTGATCATTCTTTATTCCTCATTACTCCTTTTTTTTTTTTTTTTTTGCATTAGCTCCTTCTGAGTTTCAATTGATGGAAAGTTCTAACCAACAGTGGAGAAGATCTGGTCTCTTGTCGTTGGTTAAATTTAACTGATGCTTAGAGTGGTTCCCAGTTGACACACAGAGTATGCTAATAGGTGACTCCCATTTATGCTTATAATATAAACACTTCAACTTTAAAATCCTGTAGAGGAAATACCCTAGAAGCACACAAGATAGGAATATCATCACTAACAAATGTACGACCTGCCCAGCATGTCAGTGCCATCTGTCTTTGCCCTTCTTCTGGTTGCATCTTTCTCAGTGATTTATTTCCCTTGTGATCCTGTCAGTCTGCTTCATTTCTCTTCCCTTTTATTTATTCTTTCTTTTTCCTCATATTACTCCCCAACAAAATAAATCATTTGAAAACATAATGTGTTGAGTTATTTCTTTAGTAAAGATGAGTATTTATTTACTTTACAAAGAGATGTCATTAAATTGTCACAAACAGCTCCATTGCTAGGCAAATATTCATTGCACCAGCAATGAGCTCAAACTGCATTCCCACTTTGCTATTGTGTTGAATTATGATCTCAAGTAAAATTTTAAATTTGTTAATGGAACTGCCCATTCCTTCTTTTATAATTCTAAAAGCAGTAGGGTGCTCTCTCTGAGGGAAATAGCTGAATTATTTTTAACGATGTTTTTTATGTATCAGTGATGATAAGTTAAAGATTCTCTATTGCTGCTTTTAAGGGTGAAATGATTTTCATGCCCATCTGTTATGTGAATAAAGGCAAAGTATTATGCAGAAAATAAAGCTCTCCAATGCGATCTTATAAGTCAGAATCCCCAAAGATATATCAAAGATACTTAAAAGTATGACTTAGATTTATGTTAGGACTAAGTAATTTTAGACTAGAATGTATTTCTTACTCATATGCTTTTTAGTTACATACCTGCTGTAAGGATGAAAGACTATAATGCCATTCAAGTTAGGATTTTTTTTTTTTTTTAACCAGGGACCAAAGTCAGGATTCTTGCACTTGCGAGGCAGGCAGGCGGAACCACTAAGTTAATCTCCATCTCCAGCCCAAGTCAGGATTTTAAATAAGGAAAAATATTTTTAAATATAATGTGAGTTGGGTCTTGAAGATTAGATAGGATTTGTGGATATGGAGAAGGAGGTATTCCTTACACAGGCAAATGCAGACAACATAGATAATCACAAAAATGCGATATCAAGTAAGGGAATCTAGACTAAGAAAGGAAAAGGGATACACATTGCTCATTCTGCCCTGTAACAGTCTTGTCTGTGGTGACCAAAAGCAGATCAGTGGCAGTCTTGGTCTGTGAGGGGAGGAAGGCAACTCAAGAGAGGTGTCAGACAACTTTCTGAGGTGATGGAAGTGGTTGTTGCAAAAACATGTACATTTGTCAAGACTCAGAACTGAAATGTGTGCACTTTCTCCTGTGTAAATTATATATCAGTAAAATGGGTTGAAAATAAAAAACAAAAGACGTCCCCAGGGTAGAAGAGAACAAGCTGTGGATGAAGATCACGATGTCATTCACTTTGGATCATTTTCCCAATTGTCATAAGTGTGTTTTGTGTCCCCACCATCCCATTTTTAAGATATGTCCATCTTCCCAGATTAAATTTTATACTAGTCAAACCGCTGAACTTGAGATAGACATCCTAATGAACCGTCTAGTCTGATGCCTGTGCATGAGCAGATGGCAAGTGTAATGGTAATGAATTTGGACTCTCCAGACCAGGCATGGTGGCTCACACCTATAATCCCAGCACTCAGGAGGCTGAGACAGGAGAATCGCTGAGAGTTTGAGTCCAGCCTGAACTACATAGCAAGACCTTGCCCTAAAAAACAGTGTGGGAGGAGAAGGTGGTTCAGACTCTCCAGCCAGACTGAGCTGGTTTCAACCCCACCTGCTACCTAGTAGCTTTACGAACTTGGGCAGCCACTTAAATGTCTCTGTACCTCATTTTCCCTACCTGAGAAATAGAGATAATGATACATAAATTCATGACGAAGATAACATTAGTTAATATAGAGAGAGTGCTCAGGATAGTGCCTATGCATAAATGTTCAGTAAATATTTGTCTTGAGTATTGTTATTTTAGAGAGGAGGAAAGAAAGACCCAGACTGGCCAAGACAACTTTCCCAAAGTCATATATCTAATGGGTAAGAAAGGCCATATCTGCTTCTGGTGGCTGCGCCTGATGAGGCCAAAGTCACCTCTGAAGAGGGGTGTGACCAGTGTGTACCTCTGGGCATGTGCTTTCTAGCTCCCAAGAGAGAGCTGGTGGTTTCCTAAAGTAGACTCTGGTGCAGTCTTGAACTTGGGGTGTCCACCAGAGGCAACCAATTTTCCTGATACATCAGTTCATGCACAAACACAAAGAGAAAGCACAGGGGGCAGGTAACTGACAGCAGACACCACAACGGAGTTGGAGTAGATCAGCCATCCCTTTGTCCATCTCAAACACTACCACACCTCTTTGTCCCTAAAACAGTGCCTGCTCGGCCCAGAGTAGCTGCTCGGTAAATCTTTGCTGAATAAACACAGGAATGAAGGAAGAGGATGAAACAGCAGTAAACACTAGGAGAGAGTAGAGGTTCGACAGATGACACTGAGGCAGTCCATGGACCCGGGGTAGGGGAGGGAGAAGGTGCCGGTCTCAGAAAAGTAGCCAGAAAATTCATGCAGAGAAACCACAACGGTAGCTTCATAAATTTGGGCTGACCCTTGACTCGCACCATCAGTGAAGTAAATGACGGAAATGGGGAGAAGAGCTTTGAGAGTACAAACAGGATTGTTGAGAAATTAAAATCCTGGTGCCTTACATTTATTATTCTTTTTAAAAAATTAATGGAGGCTCCCTGAGAATATCAGGGCTAATTTTTATCCTAACTTGTACTATAAATATGCCTTTTAAAAAAATAATTTCTTTTTAAAATCTACTTCATCCATTTGGCTTGTGTCTGAGTGTAGAATTTAGATCTTAATATTTTCATTCTGAGTCTGCCTGAATCAGCCCACTTCACTGCCTAGAACTTCCATTACATTGCTGACTAGACATAGTGAGAAGAGACAGCCCTGTCTTGTTCATGATCTTAGATATCATTCATTCTGTCACCACCAAGTATGATGTTAACCTTTGTAGATGCCCTTCACAGGATTGAGAAAAGATCCCATGTTGTTGAGAGTTTTGATCAAGA